TCGAGAGGTGAGCGAACGCCGGTATGTGTTCTCTCACCTCCCGATCTACTGAGCTGACCTGTGACAGTCTCATTGTCACAGGTCGGCTAGAACTACGAGGTGAGTGAAAAGCCCCTCCCCCTCCCCCCCTCATAGTTCTCCTTTAAAGGAAGCATCGTGCACTGAGGTCTATATGTAGGGTTGTCACCTGTCCCGGATTCAGGTGTCTGGGTTTTAGCTGGCCTGAAACCCAGGATCAGCACATACAGGACTCAAAACCCGGACTGTCCAGGTGAATCCGGGACAGGTGGCAACCCTAGCTATATGTCAGCCGCCGTCTCTGAGCTCTCCCTCTGAAAATGCGCATTGCCTGGTATTTTCCTGGAGGTGAGCAGCGGCAGCCCCCCCACCCCTCCCCCTGTATATCTCAGTACAGGTTTCCTTTAAAAAGTCTCTTTGTGCTTTTCATACACTTCCATCTTTGTAACATGTTTTTCCCGTCTGCGATGCTGAGAAAACACTGGAGGCATCTTCACGCTTCAGCGGATCTCCTAACAAAGAACAAAACCTCCAACACACAGATATATATATATACTGTATACACACGGCTGCCGGGGGTTACTTTGCAGCCAGATATTAGGAAATGTTGCAGTGTTTCTGCAGAAATACCGAGGTGTACTGACCTCCTTCTGCAGAATGCTAAGTGCCTGGCAGTCATATTCATCCTGAGGCCTCAGTACTTTCTGAGTTGCTGAATTAGAATTAGACAGTCGAATTTCGAGGAAGCAAGCTTGTTGGCCGCCTGTGTTGTACTGACTGATGACTTTTGTACGTAGCGTGTATGAATACAGTCCGCTCTTTTATTGCTTTGATCTCCCTTTGGGCGCTTATCGTAAGCTGAAGAGCTGCTCTGAGTTGCTTTGAGCTGCTTTTTGCTTTCACTTTGACTTGTATTACACCCCATTCACGCTGAGCCAGTGGCGTCACAAGGGGGGTGCGGCCCGCACCCGGGTGACACCATTGGAGGGTTGACGCCAAAATGACTCAGTCATTTTGGTGTCACCCCCCTCTGAAAAGTCAGGCGCTCGGTCATGGACAGTATCAGGAGAGAGGAGGGGACCCGGCGGCTTACCTTATCCCACCGGATGACTGTCTCCTCCTCTCTCTGCCGGAGTCCATCACCAAGATGGCCGCCGGCAGGTATCAGAATACTGCCGCGCATGCGTGCTGACGTCTCGGCGGGGTGACACTCG